CCCCAAAACCCCAAAACCCCAAAACCCCAAAACCCCGCAAGTCTATACTATTATTGAAGCCATAAATTCCATGTTCAGCTTAACTAAAGGAACTCATCTCTTAAAAGCATCATTGAGGATAAACCCAGGGAGGAATTATTTCTCCACTTTGTTGGCAAAGCAGAGAATTATCAGACAACTTCGTAAGCTGGTTTTTTCGCCGTTTAGATCCTATGAGCATGAGAAATATATACAATAAGGATAAATTTCTTGACAAATCTAATTACAAAGCCTCAGAAGATGAATACTTCAACTTACTCTCAGATACCGAAAAGAGGGAGCACATAATGTCCAAGCTAGGCATCGACGACATCAACAGCCCAGACATAGACAAAGCTCTGGCTGATATCGAGCAAGAGCAGAAGAAAATCGAAGACCAAAAACATGACGAAGAAGAGAAGAAAGTTATTGACATCACCAAGATCAGAAGCATGTTCGATACCATCAGTGAGTCGTAATCGTTAAGTCTTTAGTCGAGATGCAGTCAGACCCAGAAGGCCAAAAAGCTAAGGAATTTGAACGACAAATGGAGCAGTTCGAAAGCAAAAACCCTAATAAGAAGAAAACACAGGTGTTTATTAAGACGATGAGGTCTGGCAGGATTATTAGTAATGAAAAGAGATTGATGGGCAATGACACTCTTTCAGGGCCGGAGAAACTCTTACAGAACGCATATGATTACTTGCAACATTCTTTCCCAGAGGAGAATTATTTAGGTACGTCGGATGGTGATCTTTAGAGGACTTTGAACTCCATCATTATAGATATCCAGCAGAGACTAAACCAGTTGGAATCGTTTTCTTCTTCCACGACCAAAGTAAATATATGGGGAAATATGCCCATGTTGCTGAATGCTTATCCAAGAAGAATATTGAAGTAGTAGGTTTTGATCTGCCAGGGCACGGGAAAAATACTAAAGGCACTAGAGGATATTTTGGGACTTTTGACGATGTTAAAAAACACTCATACAAATTTATCAACTCAACAATAGCCAAGTTAGGATACACAAATCTTCCAAAGTAAGTGATCTGTCTAAAGTATAGGTTTTCTATTGGAGTCTCGACTGGAGCTCTGACAGCTCTTACTCTTGCAGTAGAGAATGAAAGATTATTCAATGGAGTAAATATTATCTGTCCACTTCTAAAGAATGAAGGTGCGAAGCCAAGAGGAAACTCTTATATCGATTTCTTAGGAAAAGCCTTCCCAAAATTAGGGATGGCTAAAGTAAACACAGAGGCTGCTCAACCTTTTGATGATCCTCTATTATTCAACGGAAAGCTCAGAGCAGGTCTTTTCAAAGAACTCGAAGATACTACCTTTCATGTTAGGAGGAATGCGAGCAATCTCACAATTCCAATTCTCGTTGCTCATGGAGGAATTGATACAATCACACCAGCATCTGTTGTTAGGGAGTACTTTGAGGAGGTACCTACTCAGGATAAAGATATCATTATGTATGATGACTGAGGACATGACATCTACTCTGACCCTGACTACTACAAGCTTTTGGCCAATGAGCAAGCAATCTGGTTAAGATCTCATCTTTAAGTCATAGACATTCAGTTGCGTAAATGAGATTTGGGGTTTTGGGGTTTTGGGGTTTTGGGGTTTTGGGG